AATGAATACCAAAAAAGGTGTACCGTTAAAGTGTCGATCTAAAACATCGAAACCCATAAGTATAATGTTCAATGAAACCGGTATAATTATACCGGCTTTATGAGAAAATAGGTCTAAATCATGTATCGACACTTTTTTAGTTTGTGTCGATATTTTTGTCCAGAATGAAATATTAAAACCAACGAGGTGCAAGCATAAAGTGTCGATACTTACGGTCTAGAATGAATGCCAAAAAAGGTGTACCCTTAAAAAGTGTCGATACATTTATTAAAAAAATATCGATCCCTAAAACATCGAAACCCATAAGTATAATGTAATAGGTAAATGGTCAATGAAACCGGTATAATTATACCAGTTTTATGAGAGAATATGTCTAAATCATGTATCGACACTTTTTTAGTTTTTGTCAATATTTTTGTCCATAATGAAATATTAATGCCCAACGAGGTGCAAGCATAAAGTGTCGATACTTTTATAAAAAGTTTCGACACTTTATGAAATATCGAAACCGATAATTATAATGTAATAGGTAAATTTGTAATGTTACCGGTATAAATATACCGATTTACTTATAAAATAGGTCAATATAAGCGCTACCTATTACATTATATAAGCGCTACCTAATATGTTATTGTACTTGATAATATTTCCCGTTAAATACATATTTTATTATATAAGCGCTATCTATTACATTATATAAGCGTTACCTAATATGTTATTGTACTTGATAATATTTCCCGTTAAATACCTATTTTATTATATAAGCGCTATCTATTATATTATATAAGCGTTACCTAATATGTTATTGTACTTGATAATATTTCCGGTTAAATAATATAACATAACCGGTCTAAATTTTAACCTGTTACTTATTTAACCGGTCACACCGTATATTAGCCGTTTTTTAGGCGGCACACCGCAGAACTACCCGCTTACTATTTTATTGGTTTTTGTCAGTTGTTGGAGAGAACTAAAACTAGGTATTCCGGATTTTGGTCCTTTTTCATTCACATTTTTTAAGGTAAAATACAAGATTAGTACCTAAACTATTATTTTTATTTAGTTTTGGTACTCATATTTTGTTTTTTTAAATCATACCTAAAATAATTCATAAGGCCAATGTGATTAACGTATAAAGGAACAGAAGAGTCTGCGAAGCATCTGGCATGGACGTACAGGCCGTTTTCTGTGCTTGTAAAGATTGAATTAAGACGATCAGGTGAAGCCAAAGCAACACCTAAGGGACAAGGCTGCAAAAGGGGTTAGATGTAGTTATAAATCACGAAACTGAAGATCCGGTGAAGCGGTTCGAGTTTAATTACGAGCTATACATAGTGATCGAACCTGAATCAGCGCCGGAGGCAGCAGCAGACACCGAGAAACTAAAAGAAACCCCTACTTCCACAATGGAAACCGAATTAGAGCCCGAGGAAACTAAAAGAGACTACAATCGAACCCATAGTAACTTCAAAAATCATAACTTCAAACGCAGAAAAGGGCCATGAACAAGACAAACTAAGCCTCACAACGATCCAAATATCCCAGAAAACGTTCTATTTGCTGTCAAAATTTTCCCTTAAATTAAGCAGCTACAATGATTCTCAGGAATACATCAAGAATAGACGGCCAAACGTTCAAAAGGGTCAATCCTTTGATCAACACTTGTCCTTACTTCTGTACCACATTCTTCTTATATATATATATAGTTTCATACGTTTTATTGGAAAATATATACAAAAAAAGAAATGGAAAACAGATTGTGTGAGATTGTAGAGAGGGTGAAAGTAGTGATAGTTCTATTGGTGGTTCAAGCAGCACTTGCAGGAGTAATTGTGTTCTATAAACTGGCTTTGATCCAGGGAATGAGCATGAGGGTGCTCATTGCTTTCAGATTTATCTTCGCCACTGCTTCTGTTGTCCCACTGGCTTTCATGTTCGAAAGGTAATTTAATATTTCGTCGTGGTTATCTGAATTTAATTTTGGATTCCAGTATAACATACATATACGTATACATTTATGAGTTGTTACTTATACAAGTTTTGAACCATTCTCCTTCAACTTTATCCTACACATGTAGGGACAGTAAAGCAAATTTAACATGGAAGGTAATGTTCCTAGGGGTTTTGTCTGGTCTATTTGGGTAAGAATAACATTCATCATTTTCATTTTTATTCTTAATGTGTTCGACACTTGAATTCTTATTGTGGTCAACTTTTATGTCCTTAATTCACATAACTTCCGGTTATTTTAGCTTTACAAACTTTAAACGAAATCTAAAAAAAAGATGATAAAGTATACAAATGGTCTTTTGACTATAGGGTACTATTTTATTAAGTTCCTCGACTATTAAAAGTTACAAAATGGTTCTCTGATTATATAGTGTTGCTTTGTTGAATCCCTCGACTATTAAAAGTTACAAAATGGTCACCCGACTATTCATTATGTTCCAAACTCATCATTTTCTGTTAAAAAATTGATGGTATTTTGAGTTGAATGTTAACCTACTGACTATGATATGATAAAATATGATCTCATAATCTCAAACGACTATCATATCTCAGTCATCATGTTAACGCCCAGCTTAGATAACTGCCAATTTTTTAAGCAAAAAATGACGAGTTTGGAACATAATAAATAGTCGGTGACCATTTTGTAATTTTTAATAGGCGATAGACTTAACAAAGTAACGTTATATAGTTAAATGATCATTTTATAACTTTTAATAGTCGAGAGACTTAATAAAATAATATCCATAATTGAGGGACTATTTGTATACTTTATCCATCAAAAATTCGATTTTACTCAACTAATTTTTAAAAAATATTTTATTCAATTGAGTCGAATTTTACTCAGTAAAAAAGTAACTATTGTTCCCCTACACTGTTGGGATAAAAAACACTTGGTAAATGGTTGTCATGGCAGGTGAGCATTGGGTCCAAATTTATTCATAGCAAGCTTATCCTTAACATCTTCAACCTATGCAACCGCAATGTCCAATCTTGTTCCTATTGCCACATTCATCATTGCTGTCATCTTAAGGTTCCCCTCCCCCTCTTAAATTATATTATACTAGCAAAAGGATAACTTGGCCATATAATAGACCTAATTTATCATTTTTACTTCTATCGTATTTTTGTGTCAATATAACTTTTAAAGTTATTCAGTTGCATCAATGCTTAAAATATTTATTATTATTTATGGTTTTATGTTATGGTTTACGGTTTTAGGATTCATGTTTATAGACTAGGTGATTATGGTTTAGGGTTTATAATTCAAGGTTTTAAGTTAGTGTTAGGGTATAGAATGGTGTAATTAAACAACTTTGAGGACTAAATTGATACGAAAATAATAGTTTGAGTCTACTACAGGGGTAGAAGTGACCCTTCAACCTATTATATTTTATAAGTATTTTCCCATAATATTATTTTCACTTTATCTAAAATAAGTATTTTTCCCATAATATTAGTTTCATACGTTTCATTGTGGGAGATCATTCTGCATGCTTTTCGCTTCCATGGCCTCGTATGGGCATCTCAAATATCGTACTGACAAACCACCTGGTTTAGTAGATAGGTGGTCGCTATATATAAAGATCGTTGTTATCGATATAATCCTTCGAGGGACCAAAATTGGTTGATACATGTTTTCCCCCCCTTCCTGTAAGGTGCAAAATAGCCAGGATTATAGCAACATTTCCAGCATCATCGATCCGAGGTTGAGGTTGGGGAGCAGCTTCACGGTTGAAGGTATGGAAGAATTCATAAAACTAACAGTTCAATGTTTGGAACCATCGAGCGAGAGGAGACCGACCATGGGGCACGTAGTAACGGAACTTGACCAGATACTCGATAAAGAAATGAGCTTGACGACGGTGATAGGGGAAGGAAGCCCAACCGTGGCCCCTGGAAGCCAGCTTTCTAGAGCAACAAAGTGAAGAAAAGAGAACTTGTTATCCCCTGCATCCAAATACTATCTTGGTGAAAGTAAAGAATTTGCTTTGAGATTCAGCTGTTTGTTTAAGTGCATAAAAAGCAGCTGTAATTGTTTTGATTATATCATAAAAGTGATGAGAAATCTGTGTTGTTAATAGCAAAGTGGTTGGTGTGATGTATACATTCATTATACATATACAATACACTATTTGATTTTGGTCAATGTTCTGATGCTCCGATCTTCTTCGACGATTGTGCGATAAGAATAATTTTATGATATGTTGTTTGTCTTCTCGGAATAACACTTTTTATTGTTCAAATTTTTAAACAAACCTATTAAAATTGAGAAAGATCTCAAGCCCAAAAAATATGACAGATTTTTTGTATTTAATTTTGTGAGTGTTAGAGGTATTTTGAAAAAAAATCTAAATTGATGAAGTGATAGAGGATGATAGAACCAATTCATAATGTTTAGAATGTCCGTAAAAACGTCGGAGAATGAAGCATTTTGACGATAGAAAAACATAATCTCCTTTACTTTCTCATCAACACTTGTTAGATCAAAGTATCCTATAGACACATTATTTTAAATTTAATAACCTGATTGAACCATAAACTAAAATTTAATATTAAAATATTTTATATTAATGTTTTACTTATGAAAAGTAAAATACAAATAATATTTAATAAATTAAAAGTTACATTCAATTAAATATATTTAGAAAAGGCTTATAAATAATACTCCATCTATATTACATTAAATTAAACCTTACGTTTAATCTTTATATTATTTAACATATTTTAATTTGAAATAAAATTATTACTAATTACACGAATCAATTTATCTCAGTTGTTAAATGAATCGTTTCACTAACAACTCCCATAAAGTGATTGTTGAGAGTATTTAGAACATTTGTAGTCACCTTAGGTTAATCTAAAAAATTATTGCTAATTAATTCCTCAAAAGAAAATTTGTTAATTAATGAAAAATATTTAAAAGAAAAAAAATCAAAACCATTTAAGAGAGGGTTAATTATAAAAAGCAAAACCCTTGCAAAACCTAATCTAGACTAACCGGAAACTATAGGCGTTGAGGTTCGGCTGATCGCTGTGGGTTGTCAAATTCTGAAATTTATTTAGCACGAGAGAAGTGGAAATATGAGATTCAAGAAGCAAAAGCGTCACCGGAAGACGGTGAGATTCTTCAGTGTGTGCTTCGGTTTCAGGCAGCCGTTCAAGGTTCTCTGCGATGGAACTTTCGTAAACCACCTTCTTCACAATGACTTAACACCCGCCGACAAAGCTCTCTCCGATTGTCTTTCTGCCCCCGTCAAGCTTTTTACCACCAGGTTCAACGCTCGTCCTTTTTTGTTGTGTAAGTTTCTGAAAGTAATTGCTTTTGTATTAAAATCTAACCCCTTTTTGTCTCGAGGAGTTTTCAGCTGTGTTCTGGCCGAGCTGAAAAAACTCGGCGCTGCCCAGTCTGCATCATACCAAGCAGCTCGTAAACTCGCAGTTGCAAGGTAATCTTATTCTCTTTTGATCCTGTTATGGACTGATTTACTGGTACTATCACTTTTGCTTCTGAATTTACACGTAGTCTCTGTTATTTTGACGATATTTGTGTAATGTTAATTGAATGCTGATTTTCTTAGTTTGGCCTTTTCTATGAATGTGATTTGTTTGAACTTAATTGAAAATCATATTCAGATGTGATCATGAGAAGAAGGTCAGTGCTGATTCTTGCATTGAGGAGGTTATTGGAGAAAACAATCTTGAGCACTTTTTTGTTGCTACTCAGGATGCTGATCTCCGGAAGAAACTTCAGAAGGCAACTTCCTTTTTTTCACTTTTAAAATTTTGATGTTACTGTTCTAATTCTATGTTAGTTGAACCAGGTGTGTGTGTTAGATATGGATGTGATGCAGAGTATGTTTAATTTCCTTAGTTTTTTTACGTGTATTTGAAGGGTGCTTAGGGTATCATATCACGACATTCATATTCGGATTTATGTTGGAGTTATCGTGCAAAATAAACAGTTGGAGCAACAGTTGATGTTTGCTCTATTATTTTTCCTTTTTTTTGGTACTTTAAGCTTCTTCTAGGATATATATCATTTTTGCTTTCAACTTGAACATTCATACTGTTATTCAGTCTCCCCTATGAAGTTTGCATTATTCTAATTTTGTGTCCTATCCCTTTAGGTTCCTAATGTTCCTCTAATATTTGGTCTACGAAATGCCCTTTTCCTTGAGCAACCATCTAAGTTTCAGCGCGATTTCGTCAAATCTTCTGAAGAAAAACGCCTTCATTTGACTGAGAAGGAATTTAAGGCTCTAGAGAAGAGGACTAAGGGCGTTTCAGAAAATGTGGATGAAGAAGATTCGGTTGACGAAGATGGTTTGGGTCGTCACAATCCAGGGTTGCAGCCACATAATACCAGGAATTATTCAGGAAAGGAAAGAGATGTAAAGGATAGAGTTCGATTTAAAAGAAAGAGAGCCAAGGTACTTTTCTTTATCCATCCTCTGTTTTGTACCAGTTTGGTCGGAATTGTACTTTGCACCTCTATAGCCTAATCATTGCAAGTTTCCTAAATTGCATTTGGAAATGTTACCAAGGAGACATGACCAGAACATGTTAGTTGGAAACACAAAAATGTAAACAAACTTGCATTACGCAACTTGACTTCTGCTGCGATCAACATGCCCACAGAGTAACATTCCCCAGTGTTACACACATCCACACACATGCCGTTAGTTTGAAAAGCTAGAGTCTATGTGATAATAACTTTAACTGGTTTATAGACAAAGATATATAACTGCTTTGATATCATTCCTTTTTGACTGCCTTCTTCAATTTATAAGGTGCCATTGAAAAGCTCATTGGATTGACATTCTCTTCTTCTTGACATTTATAGGGTCCAAATCCACTTTCAGTTAAGAAGAAAAAAAGTCATGAAAACCCAAATCGTGCATCTGGGAAGGTAAACTTGCGCTTTGACTGTGGCATTACTTGTTTTTCAAATTTATTTGATTCGTCTTTGGAATGGAGATAAATAATCCGGCATCCGGCACCTTTCTTAATTTGAGCATTAGAATGAAAGGTAAATTTTGCCATTGTAAATTATTTGATATATGTCTCTTTGCAGGAAGTCAAAGGTGATGATGGCAATGCTGAAAGCAAGAGGAAAAGGAAGAGGTCGCGCAAAGGTAAGACACTTGAAGGGACAGACGGTGCTGTGAATTAAGAAAAAAGGTTGTAACTTTCCCAACTGCATTGTAACTTATACATTCAATTGAAAGAAATGCTGTGGTTTTTATGATTTTGTCACACTCCGGGAAGAAAAAAATGTTACTGTTTTGATACTTTAGGGGGTGTTGACTTTTGAGTTGAGGGGATCAATTCATGTGTAATGCCTTATCTTTGTTAATCACTAATCTTTTCTTACTTTTGCTACTCCGCATCTCATTGTATTGTGTTGTGTCATGATCTTAGAGAGGACCCATAAACCCGGTATCGGTTAGACGGTTACTAGAATTGTTCTTAAGCTGTAAGTACTAATATCATCTTCAACAAGTGAGACTCTTTTGTGGATAAAGCTGTAAGCTTCAATGGGCTAAAGTGGACAATCCCTTGTATGTTGGTGTGGATTGTGGCATTTAGCATCAGAAAGGACTTTTGGGTGCTGTCAATATTCTATGTAGACCCTTTTGGAGTGACGAGGATGTCAATTACTTATAGGTTGGTGTGAATACACATAGCAGTCACCCTGCCGTACTGTTTTTATTACCATAATCACATTCATTCAATCATTTTGTTGGTAGAAATTAAATAAGCATGGAATATCACATGTTAAGAAGTAAAGTTTTAGATTTAAATTTTATAAATGAAAAAAATGCCCAGAAACGTTTACCTTGCAGAAGAAGAAATGGGTGAATTGGAAGAGCAAAGTTAATAAGTAAGATGAAATTGAAGGTTATATGATGATTGTAAGTAGAAGGGTTTTGGCTTGGTTGAGGGCTTGTGATTGATGTGGAAGATGCGTCACTAATAAGAATATTTAGGGTAAATTACGCATTTAATTATTAGTTTTGGTTCGTTTTAATATCTAAACCTTTATTTTTTTTTCATAAGCATATTTAATGTTTAGTTTTTGTTTCATTTTAGCACCTCGCAGCTAAAAACTTATTAGTGATTTGCACTTGACATCTTTTTATTGGTAAATTGTATCATTCATCATTCAACTATCTTCTTACTTCTATTTTGATTACTAAAGTTTTTTTTTTAATTTAATTGCTTAACTTTTAAATTACTCCTAATTTAATCACTTTAACTTTCAAATTTATTTTTTAATTATTATTAAAAATTAGAGCGATTAAAATAGGAACAATTTGAAAGTTGAGTAGTTAAATTGAAAATTTTTTAACTTGAGTACCAAAGTAGGAGAGAGAAGATAATTGAATAATTGATTTATCCATAAAAATGCAGTGTCATTAAGTTTTTAATGGTGAGGTACTAAAGTGAAACAAAATCTAAATGTGTGTATGTTTCTGAAAAAAATCAAAACTTTAGATATTAAAATTGATAGTTTAGATACTAAATGCATAATTTACTTTAAAATTTATTTGATTCAATAACAATTTTTGAATTAATTAATTAATACATTGTTAAAAAATAATAAAAATATTAATTTAAGATTCTCCGTTCCCCACGCCGGCTGTGTGTCTTCTTGTTTCCATCTTTAATCTCACCGGCATCTTTCATTAACATTTTTATTGTTTTTTTTATTAATCTGGTATAAGTAAAAGATATTATTTATTTAAAGATAATTTTTAATCATTTGATGTTAACGTTCGTATCTTGATATTTTTTGTGTTTAAACCCTAAATTTTAAAGAATAACAACAATTTCTTTATCACGGGTAGTTAGGTTCATGCACATATTTATTATTTAAATATTCATTAATAGAATCTATCGAGTGTTCTTAATAGCTAAATGAAATATTATTCTCCTTTGTAATTATAAATTCGAATAATTATATCTATAGAATATATATTATAAATGGTTATGAAAAATTATAAACAAACACTACTTAATACAAAAACATACCATGTGATCTTGTTACTTCTAATTTACTGTCAAAGTGATTAAAAATGAAACATTCGAAGCTTGAGTAATCAAATTAGTTTCTTTTAAAAGTTTAAGATTAAGTATATAAATACTCATCAAATTTTTAGGGCATTTGTATTTTGGTCACTAAACTTTTAAAACTTACAATACAATCATTGAATTTTTAATTCGTTTTCAGTCAGATTCCCGAATTACCTATCTTAATTTTATCTGACCTGTCACATTACCTCCTGTTTTATTTTTCTTCTTCTTCAGACCTATAGTTATCTCTTCATTAAAGACACAAAAGTGTGTTCTCATTGATGGCATCGACATTCATAAAAGGTTCATCGCAACGAAAACATCATAATGCTGCATAATGAACATTTGATGATGATCAATATATCATGAAGAAATTGTGGCCCTGTGAATGAAAAACCAGGGTGGGTCATAAAAAATATTCAGCTTCTCTTCACCTCCTTCTATATTTTCAAATGCTTTGCTTGCTTCTGGAGGAATATTAAAGACAGCAAATGCGGAGTAATGACGACCTTGAAGCACTTTAGATGGCTGCCAACAAATAGTTCACCATATTAGAAACTTGGTAATGAGAAATGAAGATAAGAAAAAGAGAGCTTGAAGGGAGAAAGCTTTTCAAAGACCCATGTCATTGACCAATTCTTCACAAATTGACACTATTAAAGACACAAGAACAGATTCTGTAATGAAAGGGTTATTTGAGATTTAAGAATTTAGATCAACTTTCAAGTGCCATGAAAGAAGATATAATCAGCTTTTGGTTCAATTGCAACAGCTCCAGGACTGACTTTGGAAATTTCTTCTCTACGAACATTGACTGGTATTCTGTGGAGTAGTAGCTTCACCCTTTCCGGTTCAGGTGCCTGGTTTTCAAAAAAAAGAAAAAAAAGAACTAGATATGCATGATAATGATAAACAATTGAAAATAAAGATAACCGGCGATCAAACTCCATACGTCTGGAACCAGGGTGATTTCACCACGCTCTAGCTTAGTAAGAACCAGTTTCATTGCAGCACATGCATCATCTAGACAATTATGAGCAGCACCTGGCTTTCGAACTTCATATCCAGTACAACTGTAAACACAATGCACAGAGAGTTAAAAACTAAAACAAGCATCTAAAACTACCAGTACATTTCGCCTTCCATAGCACCATGAGAGGTCTTTACTAAGATCAAAGCACTCTTATTTGCTGGTTACTCACATTCGGTAAGAGTTGCTATGGCTATGCTCAGTTCATTCTAAGTTTATCCATATATTTTAGAGGGGGTTATGCCTCCATACTCATATCGAAGAAGGGTTAATGTAAGGTAATATGCCACGTACATAATTATTTTTTTTAAATTAAATTATTTTTTTTCTTAAGAAAATGGTTATGATAGAGAACAAATTGATGGTAACACACCTGTTACGCCACCATATAAAAGAGACAAAAATCATGTAAGTTAACTTCACAAACAGTTCAATACATTTAATATAATAAATGTTTTACAATAATCATTTAAATAATTATTGAATTTATTTGTAGGTTATGACATCAAGAGAAATCAATCTAGCAGGTCTAATCATCACCAACAAGAGAGTCGGAACATACAAGCCTCAAGCAACATAGTCAAGTGGATGATGCATTCTCATCAGAGCTGCCACCCAACTTCAACCGCAAACACAAGCTCAGCCTGGCATCATATTTATCAATGAGCCTTTATCTCTTTGGCTAAGGTTACATAACGTCCATAATTGATAATACTATTTCTTCTATTTCCCGGTGTTGAGAAAAGGGGTGAAACTTCCATTTTGGTAGTAAATTGCTTTCATAATTTAATATGTTCATCTGTTTTTTGCAGAATGCAGACTGTCATCATGAAAACATCGAATGGACATTGCAGCTACAAAAAGTTACCACTTCGCTTGTCACTAGAATTTGATACAAAGTATATAGATGATTGGCTGATTGACAGTAATAGGAGCATATGACATGCAATATTGGGGGTGACAATTATTACTGCAAAGTAGTCAAATGTGTGAGCATCTCTATTGTTTCACTATGAAATTCTTTTGTACATAATGCAAATTCCTTGTGGCATTTCAACTTTTGTATTTGCTGGTGTTAGATCATGTTCATGGCAATGTTCTCAGGTAGTAAATAGTCAACAGTTCTATTCTTAACAAATCCACAACATAAAAACACATTAATCAACCAACACAGAGAAGCAGCGTTTGCAGTTAGAGCCTCCAACATTATTGAATATACTTGATTGTCGATGACATCAAAAGAGTATTAAGGAAAAAGAAGAAGAAAAAAGTAGGCACAAACACAGAATGGAAGAGGAGAGAGAGAAAAACGTAGAGAGAGAGAATTTGAAAGGAAAGTCAGTTCCGGTTGAGTGTTGGTCGGCGTTTATCGATAATCTAAGTAAAAGGGTCTCCCATCGTACGCTTAGGGAATTATTCTTAGTTCATGGTCCTGTTACGAGAGTCTTTATTCCCAGCCAAACTAGAAATCCAAAATACAAGTTCTCTACTTTTGCCTTTGTTCATTTTAAGAGGGAGGAGGATCTGAAGAGGGCTGTTGAGGAGTTAAACGGGATTGTGATTGATGGAAGGAAGATCTCAGTTAGTCCTGCCAGATTTAAGGATGAACGTTCAAGGTCAAGGGTGTTGCTTTCTTCTTCAAACAATGATGCTGGTCAGATTAATGCAGAATCTTCAAAATCAAGAGATAGAGTTAATATTAATAGAAGTAGGAGGGATGATAGATCTTATAGGGATGCTCTGTTGTCTAATGGGAATAGAAGGGGGAACAATGATCTAATGTCTGAGGATATCCAGAGGAGGAATGTCAAGGGAAATATATTTGAGATGCATATCCCAACAGACAGCGCCAACTGGGTGAAGAGGTCGTTAACAGGGATTATCAAATACTCCTTTCAAGTGGAGCTCATTCGGACGGCATTATTAAAAGAAGGCCATGATGTTCAAATTGCGAGATGGGGCTATGTCTGGAATTCTTGTGTGATAGTTCTTAAATCTCATGAGGAGATGCTGGAGTTATGGAGTAAGAAGGAAGAAGTTTTAAAACAGTGGTTCGAGCGAGTGGAACCTTTACTGAATGAAGCCGGGGTACCAATGGCCTTCTGCATGGCGGAATTAAAAGGTGTTCCTTTGTTATGCTGGAATGAACCCTTCTTCGAGAAGTTGGCTGGTAGATGGGGCAGTGTGGTAGATATCCATGATAATACAAGGAAAAGAGAAGATCTCACAATGGCAAGAATCTTATTGAAGGTGGAAAGTCCTTTTGATGTTCCAGAGGTTATTACTCTTGGATCGTATGGAAGATCATACAAAGTAAGTATCAAGATTGGATCAGCTAGTGAATATTCTAGTTCGTTTTTCAATAATTTTCCGGTGGAGGATTCCGGTGAGATATTTTTTGAAGAGAGGATGTCTGAGAAGGATGAAGACAGATTGTTGTCAGTTCATGGGGAAGGTGAGACTTGCGCAGAAGGGGAAAATCGTTTGTCAGTGGACAATTGGATTGACCAGGGAGTGTTTCGTGTTTCTGGAGGAGCTAGTGAGGACAGACAGCTAGCAAGACTTTCCTTAGATAGGAAAGATAGTAAATGTGGTCTGTCAGAAAGTCAGACTGTTGGAAAGTTTAAAGTTGGTGAGTATGCAGGTTTGGGGATTAGAAGTCAAAATTATTCGGCTGATGGATCTCAGGCCCATTCTGAAGATTCTGGGCAGTCTGGGTCAAAATACTTTTCGGGTTTTATTTCTGGGCCAGCATATACAATTAATAAGTTTGGGGAATTGGTTGAAAACATTCATTTATCAGGTAAAAGCAGGGGAGTGTCCAAGGTATTGGAATCGAGTCCAATTGTAGAGAAGCCATTTAGTGTAGAGATAGACCCCGAAGAAGAAAATTTAAGACCATTGGAACAGGTTTCAAATAACAACTCAAGGGGAGGCAGTTACTTCGCTCTAGAAGGGAGTTTACAACAGAGAGTAATGTGCTGGAAACTAGAAGTCTGAGCAATTGCAAAAGGGTTTACAACAGGTCGAGGGAAAGAAGATACTGGTATGGGGATTTGTTGAACATCTCGTCTGAAACAGGGGGTGCCGTAGTTAAGCAGAGGGAGCTAGATGTTGATTCCAGTACTAATATTCAGTTCTGTTTATCAGCAGAGAACATTGCTGAGGGGAGTCTTGATCCTTATCTTGACAATGGATATGGGGGTGGGAGTGTAGGAAGGGAGATTGAAGGTTACTTTTCAGAAGGTGATTGCTTAAAGTCCAAATCTGGTTTGCTGATTAGAAGGAAGAGAAGAACTAAAAGGATCCTGTATCGTGAAGCCCTAGACCAGGTGAGCATTGATACAGCATCCTCCTCAGCTTTTTCGATTCTGTTGAAAGAAGCGGTGGAACTTGGGAGGTTAGCAAGCTTTTGGGTGTGTCTTTTAAGGAAGGGAAAGAAGCCTTTTGGATAAAATCATAGCTTTAGAGAAAGGCGTAAATGGGGTTAATAATGGATTGGTTGATTGAGGAGTGTGTCTGCACCTATTTCCTTTTTGATGATGACAAAGCTAGTAATATGTTCATGGAATGTTAGGGGTTTGGGGAAAAACGAGAAAAAGAGGGCTGTTCAGAATTTAGTCTCCAACTTTAATCCTACTTTCTTTGGCTGCAAGAAACTAAGACTGAGAAATTTAGGAAGTCTTTTTTTAGGAGAAGTGGAATTAATAAACTAAAAGGAATTTTGGAATCTCCTTCAGTTGGATCAGCGGGGGGCCTGTTGTTGTTGGGATGACAATGTTTTTGAGCTGGAGAATCAGTTTGTTAGCAGGAGATTCATAGCTACTTTCGGTAAACTTCGGAGTATTGATTCCGGGTGTGGTTTCATTAATGTCTACGGTCCAGCAGTGGAGGAGGAGAAATCTGGTTTTTTTGAAGAATTGAGCAGTTTTCTTAGTGGACAGACTTATCCCATTTGTGTGGGAGGGGATTTCAATGTATATTTACAAGAAGATGAGAAGTTGGGAAGGGGTCAAAGTAGGAGTTCAATGGAGATCTTTAATGAGTTCATTCTTCATACGGGCTTGATTGATCTTCCTTTGAACGGGGGTAGGTTCACTTGGTGTAATAACCAAGATAATCCCACTTTTGTTAGATTGGACCGTTTTTTGGTTGATTGTCGTTTCCTAGAGCTGTTTCCGGGCGTTGTGCAGTCGCTTCTACCAAGATCTTTGTCAGATCATAATGCTATAGTTCTGGAGAATAAAGGGGTGGACTGGGGTAGAAAACCCTTTAGATTATTCAATTATTTGATGGATGAGGAGGGTTTTGAGGATCTGGTTGTTTCTTCTTTTCAGAGTGGTAAGGATAGCCAGAATGAGGCAGGCGTTTTTAGTCTGATGAGGAACACCAAACATGCAATTAAGAAGTGGTCTGGGAACAGAGAGAAGTATCCAGGTGCTTTGATTTCTGAGTTAGAGAAGAAGATTTCGTTGATAGAGGATGACATTCAACAGAAGCAAGGAACTGTTGACAGTGAGGTATTAATTGAATTGAAAAATCTAAGAGCAGAATTGTGGAAGCTTCACAAGATTCAGGAGCAGATCTGGTTTCAGTACTCGAGAACTAATTGGATTGTTGATGGGGACCGCAATACTAAATACTTCCACACTTGTGCTACGATTAGGAATAAAAGGAATGCTCTACTTGCTTTAAACTTCAAAGGGGAAACAGTTGAAGACCCAACGGCAATTAAGGCCATAGTTAAAGAGTATTTTTTTAAGATCTATAATGAACGAACTACTTTAGAGATTGATGATTTGAATCTGGGTTTTCCCAGAATTTTTTTGGAGCAGAAGCAGTTCTTAGAACAGGAGTTTTCTGAGGAGGAAGTGTGGGAAGTGGTGAAATCTTGTGGCAGCAACAAAGCTCCGGGTCCTGATGGCTTTAATTTGGGATTTTTTAAGAGGTTTTGGCAGTTCCTTAAGGTAGATATTATGAAATTCTTTCATAATTTTTACTTGGGGAAGGAATGGGAACATGGTGTAAATCACACTTTCATCACTCTTATTCCTAAGATTTCTAACATTGCTGGTCTGGACGATTTTAGACCTATAAGCCTTGTTGGTGGATTGTATAAGATACTCTCGAAATGTTTGTCAAGAAGACTTAGGAGCTGCATTTCAGATTTGATCAGTCCAAGTCAATTCGCTTTTATCCCCGGTCGGCAAATCCTGGACTGTTCTCTTATAGCAAATGAAGGGATTGACTTTTGGAGGAAGAATGGTTTAAAAGGTGTGTTTTTAAGGCTGATTTCAAGAAGGCATATGATACTCTTGACTGGCCTATTTTGTTCAGAATAATGAAGGAAATGGGCTTTGGTTCTAGATGGATAGGTTGGATTTCGAAATGTGTCACTTCAGCGACTGTTTCAGTTTTGGTGAACGGAGTTCCTACTGAGGAAATTCCTATGGCGAGGGGTCTTCGGCAGGGCTGTTCCTTGTCTCCATTGTTGTTCAATTTAGTTGGGGAACTATTGAATCTATTAATAGCGAAGGCTGTTTCACGAGGGCTTTTTTCGGGACTGGTCATTAGAAAAGACGAGAGGGATTTTAATTTAACCCATTTGCAATTTGCTGACGACCTTATTATGTTCTGTGGGGCGTCGGAAAAACAGATCTTGAATGTAAAGAGGGTTCTTCGGGTGTTTGAGATTATTTCTGGTCTCCAGCTGAATTTAAAGAAGTGTAAATTATTTGGAGTGAACTTAAAGGAAGAGGAAATTAAGGGTTGGGCAGCTATGATTGGATGTTCAGTGGGCTCTTTTCCCTCAGAATATTTGGGTCTCCCTCTAGGTCCACATAGGAACTCCAACATTCTATGGGATCCAGTGGTTCAAAGCTTTAATAAGAGGTTAGCGGGCTGGAAAGGCTCCTCTCTGTCACTGGCAGGCAGGCTAGTTCTAATTAAATCAGTTCTATGCTCACTCCCGATTTACTTTTTGTCAATGTTCAAGGTTCCAGCTTCAGTTTACAAGACTCTAAATTCTATCATGTCAAATTTTTTGTGGGGTGGTGGTGATGGGAGAAAGAAGATACATTGGGTAAGCTGGTCCGATGTTTGTAAACCAAAAATTGAAGGAGGATTGGGGGTTCCTAATTTAAAGGTGGTGAATAGGGCACTTTTGGAAAAGTGGGCTTGGAGGTTTGCTATTGAGAGGGAGGCGGTTTGGAGGGAAATGCTATGCATCAAATATAAATTGGATCCTTCCTTGATGCAGTTTGACAGTAAAGTCTCTCCTAAACTATCCTGGATGTGGAGAGATATGGTGAGAAATCATTATAATGCTGATTCGTTGGGCTGTAGTATCAGAGGTAAATATAGCTTTAAAATTGGCAATGGGAGGAACATTCGGTTTTGGCAAGACAATTGGACAATGGATCATCCTTTGATGGTTTTGTTCCCTAGAATATTTTCTATTGCAGTAAATAAAGAAGGAAGATTATCTCAGTTTGGGGAGTTCAGTTCAGGGGGTTGGATTTGGAATGTTCAGTTGAGGAGAGAGTTGAATGACTGGGAATTTGAGCAATGGGCAAATTGATGGTTGTTATCTCTGATTTCTCTATTTCTGCTGATGCCACTGATGGACTGTTTTGGAAGGGGAATGGGGAAGGGGTTTTCACTGTGAAATCATGTGTCAACCTATCTTATTCGGGTTCTCCCGATTCAGAGGAAGCTAAATTTTGGAAGTATATTGTTTGGAGGGGTCGGTTGCCTCCAAGAGTTGAGACTTTTCTTTGGCAAGTTATATTAAAGAAGTTGGCGGTCAAGACAGCTTTGGTTAAGAGAGGTGTTCGGGGCATAAATGATACTTTGTGTTCTTTCTGTAATCTTGAAGACGAGTCTTCATCGCATTTATTTTTTTCCTGTTCGTTTGTTTGGCCAATTTGGATGAAATTCTTGGGATATTGGAATTTTCAGTCGGTTTTTCATGCAGATGCTAAAAGATTCCTATTGGCTTGGAATGACTTGAAGACCAACTCTCTTATCTGGCCATTATTCCTGGAGCTGTTCTATGGACAATTTGGAAGACCAGGAATTTTATTGTGTTTGAAGGAGGGAAGCTTGACCGAGCAGAGATTTTCTTTCTAGCTAGGTGCAGGCTTGCTTCATGGTTTCTAGCTAAGGAAACTCAAGTTACTATTTCCAAGGATGATATTATTGCTGACCCGTCCATAGTGGATTCCTACTCATCCCATTCTTATCGGGTTTCAACCGTGTTTCCTTGGTCCCCTCCTCCAAAAGGTTTTGTTAAACTTAATGTGGATGCGGCTACCTCAAGTGATTGGAAGAGGAGTGGCTTAGGTGGTATTTTGAAAGACATGTCTAGTTCGATTCTTGGCTCCTTCAAAGAGCCGGCTGGTCCGGGGCCCCCAACTTTAATGGAATTGAAGGCTATCCTAAAGGGTTTAGATTTTTTTTGAATCTATTCGTCATAGGGTTAAAGATAGATTGATTATTGAGAGTGATAGTCAGGTGGCAGTTGGCTGGATTAAGGATGTGGTCTCTTGTCCTGTTGTTTATGTTCAAATAGTTAAAGACATTATTCAAAAGCTTAGTGTTTTTGAAGGTTTTATTAGTTGGGTTAGTAGGACAGCCAATATAGAGGCGGATGTCCTAGCTAAGGCGGGTATTGGTTGAATTATGCTCTGTTAAGGGCTGTTTCTTTTTGGTTTTATATCTCTTGAGGGAGATGGTTTGTATTACTTTGTTATATTTGAGTTTATTGAATCCTAGGGCACTCCTTTCCTCCTTGTGTGGATTAAGGAACTATTTTTAAGTTATGTTAACCACCAAGGGGGTTTATTGAGGCCTTTTATTCCTATCAAAAAAAAAAAAAGAAGAAGAAAACAAAAAAGAATCCCAAACTGTGATATGCAACACTACCAAATAAGAGATGCCATGCCAGGCCATTTTCATCCTTTACACCTAATATCTACTTATAAACAAAGAGTTTTTGTGCTGTGTTGAGTTCAGTTGGCTCTTTGTGTAGTATTGGTGAATGTACAGAAATCTATTTTAGAGTCTAGTAAGTAACCTAGAAGTCTCTTCTATCATTCCTCTATATATAGTTATAAGAACGAACCTCGCATCAAATGAAGCGTCCATTCAGCATACCTCCAAATTATCTGAGAAAGCTCATAAGTGATAAACTTTACTCCCACTTCTCAGAAACAAACTAGAAAAAAGGACCTCTTCATTGATTCCATGACCTTAAATATGGTTTTACCATTGGATCATGCAAAGCAGAATTCTGATGTGTCAAGTTCATCCAGCTTGTATCATCAGCGGTCATCAGGGGGGTAGTTGTATCACATGAACCTAAATAATCAAGTGGATGAGCAGCTTGCGGCATACTATTTCCAATTATTCCAGGAATTCTCCCCCTCATCATTCCATTGTTCCTCTGCAGAATGAACTGCTCGGTGGAGCCCATTGATTCATAAGGGCTGCTCGAATGAAATTGGTTACTGTGAGATAGAACACTAAATAGGCTCTGATCTGCATTGCTTGCACTCAAAATATTCTGACTTTGGCCACTAAAACCATCTGAACCAGCCCATCCACCACTAACTTGATGCTCTCCAGTAAACCAGTTTTGACTCAACATATCTCTACTATTCAACTGATGTTGGAAAGGTACCGGCATGCGGGCAGAAGGGATGGCCCAATCTTGCATGTGTCCCAAAGGCAGGTGTTCTCGCCTTGCAGTCAAGGATCTGCCGTCAGCAGAGTAAATATTTTGTGGCATAAAAACCTCATTCTGCCTCTTTTGCCTCTGCTCTAACAGAAGTGAAGACTGCAACTGCTCCTCAAATTGGCCGTTAAAATGATCATCTTCCATTAATAGAATCTTTGGGGGCTGGAAATCTGCCCCTAAATGTTTCTGCTCAGTATGATATGACGACACTCCCCGATCCTTGACGAAAGATTGAAGCAACTCATTTTGGTCCTGATTTGTATAAGAACTAAAGGGGCCATCTTCAGAATGACTATGCAACAAAGCCTTCCCAGCACTTCCTTTATGCAAGTCTGATTCCAGACCAGTCATTCGGTTCTGGTCTTCAGTGTCTTGATGAATGAATGGCAATCCACTGGTAGATGTGCATTTATGGCTGGCAGTGGACTCATGGTAAGAGTGTGGTATGCTACCTGCTGACCAGACAATTTCTGCAGAACGGATGGGAACTTCCTGACTAACAGTTGCACCAGCAGTGTTCAAATCGTCTGAGTGTTCAGATTCATCTGAAGATGCAACATCTGGTTTTGAGATATTATCCTTTTCAGACTCTACGTGATTGCACAGCTGGCCACTATCAATAGAAGAAATCTGCTGTGGGGACTGATTCGATGGTAAGGCCAGAACAGACTCCCCATCTTCCATGCTGGACTCACTTTCTGTGGCTTCAGTATCCTTCTCATCTTCCAGCAACTTCTCAGGATCCTCTTCCTCTACATCTAGAGCAGCCGAGTTTGTATCAACATTGTCTTCCTGATCCTGAAGCTTTAATTTATCTTCATCGTCCTCAACCTAAACACACACACACAAAATTACAGTAGCATAGAAAATGTTCAAAATTGCTAGCAATCATTCTAAACCCTAAACGCAAAAAAGAAAAAATAACATAATATAAGAGGGGAGAGAGTTAAGAAAAAGAAATAAACCTCCAGCAGCAAATTTAGCTTTTCTTTCATCTCTTGCTCCAACGACTTGGTCATTTTCCATTTCTGCAACTGTGTTTCTCTCCAGTTTGCATATGATGAAGGGATATCTTCCTTTACCAGTTTCAACCTATTTAAAGAACATTAATTTGAGCAGAGGTATACAGAAAATTCTCAGAGTTTCAAGAAAGAATTGTCTGCTTCAACACTCACCAATGTTCACGCAGCTTCCTCCGTTCTACTTCTAAAAATACTTCATACGGTTGGACATGTAAAGTATCAATGTCACCTAAAACATGGATGATAGACTTTGATTGAATGCTTCTACCAGACTGCTCCATATTCTTTAAAAGATCGAGCTGCTTCTTGCTTATCTGAAACATATCAAAGGCAATAATCCCTTAATACTTTAGAAAACACGAGAGAAGAGAGAAGGCTGAATAGTAGCAAACACTAAAAAAGACTCTGTTGAAGAATATAACAAGACATGATACAAGAGACTGGTAACTTGGAGTTCAAAATAAAGGAAGCTTCCTTGCAGGCTTCTATCAGCCAATCCAAAGTTTAAATAATAATTAATCCTATATCCGAAAGGATAATTCTAATCCAAGGAGACATTTGATTAAGATAGAAGGCCTCTACTCAATACAATCGTGAATTTTTTTAATTTTATACCAACTAAAGCAGCTGCTGACCTTAAAACATGACATATATTTAGCACCATCACAATGCTGAATATTGCGCTTGTGTATCTTGTCACCTTTTTTGGGTCTTGCTTCCACACTCGGCACATAATCAGGAGCAGTTGAGAGCAGTTGACCTTTTTCTTTGATTGTCCCTTTTTCGTACAAACTATATCCATGAAAACTAATAAGATTCATTCACCATGAAATAAAATATACTGATTAAAACTAAAAGAAACGAGTGCAGCCACCATAAAAATTCACACCAGGAGATCTAACTGCTGCAAAAGTTTCTTAAACATAGTTATGGTTCATATTTCTCATTCAGCAAAAATGACAAGATTGAGAACCACCTAAACCACAGATAACGGTAAGAATCCTAGTAGCTCAAAATAGCATTACAAACAGAGAAACTTCAATCAGGACACTGCAATGTAATTTCCCACAAACTCAACCAGCATGGAGCGTAAAGTTTCTTGCATAGGATATAAACACTTCAGTACTCGTAGCCAGAAAAGCAGAGGTTTTCCTTTGGTAGGCACACAATTTACAGATAAGTATAATAATAATGAGAGGCTATGCACTACAAACGAGGCCATTGATAAAACTACTTTATAAGAGAATAAACAAGCTGCAATTTCTTAACTCAGAATCTAAACATATCAAATATCGTCTAAATAAATTAATATCAGGCAAAGCATACATTAAGAAAGCAATATTCAAACTCTCATAACTCACTCTTGTGAACTTCAAGAAGTCAAGCAAAACGATAATTCGTGCAACATGGTGGTTCACGATGAAAAAAAAGATATTACCTTCTTCGTATCTTTCCATCCTTCACAACAGAAGAATTCTGGTTATCACTGCTGCATGCTTTCTCATCTGCAACCCAAGAGCAAGATTCAGAAGTTACTGTAACATCCTGCTCAACGTTGCCATGCCTGGACTCATGTGAATGTGAGAAAACCCTTTTCTTACAAACCATTTTTGACCTACCAAAGAAATCATTGTAAACCAAAAATGAGATTTGATCTTAGAACATAAAAGAAGCTAAATATTCAAAAAAAAATTGAAGAAAAGGGTTCAGTTCTTCATTATTGTTTCGAACAACCAATTACAAGAGAAAAGATCAAATAGAAAGCAAATGCTATTGTATTCCGTATTATGATGGTACGCACTGAAGCTGATAAACAAGTTATGAGACACCCTTGCCAATTATACATACCTTAGTTGTTAGCACCAATTTCACTGGGAAGAACCTTACCGTGCTAAAACTGATCACTTTCCAGAAAACTGAAACATGTAACAAATACAAACCTCCATAAATTCTGCACAATTTCTTGTTCTGGGTATTTGCAGCTTTCCCAATTCTCCTTCAGTTTCTTCAAATACTCTATGATACTGCCACAAAGCAAAAAAAATGTTGCAACCATATTATTAGGAACCAAATGCACCTTTTCCAAAACAAGTAAATCTCGTTACTTTTCACATACTCATTATGGTAGTCCTGTGACTCTGAGTAGAATGCTTTCTTCTCCGCCTTTAAACTCCATTCCTCCTGAATAACTGAATCAGGGTGAAGATGACCCGAACAAAGTGATGTACCCCTGTAAGCATAAATTCCATTCAAATATAGCAGATTTGAACTCTACAGTAATCAATCCAATATTATATCTCCTAAATATAGAGTAGAGAATCAAAATAAAAAAAACACCAAGAACTATAACTTCTTTAAAAATAAAGCACTAGTAAACTTGCATAATTTGGGTGTGGTTTAACGGGTAAATTTTCCAACAGGAACAAGAAGAAGAAGAAGAAGAAGAAGAAATCCATTATTCACTGGGTGAGAGAAGTGTCAAAAGTAAATATATATACTCGCCATTGAAGAAAATGGTTTCCAAAGTGAAAGTTATCTCCAGAAAATAACACTTGCAGAACCCGCTCTTTGTCTATTCCTTTGGGAAGAAACTGCATCAGAAAATTTCTCTCATTTTCAGACAGATGAGACAGCCAAACCTGTAACAATTTCAATGCAAATTACAAAAGGCATGAGATTAGCAGACAGCAGAGATTAGAAGCAATTGTGATTATGGATAACAAGAATATTACCTCATAAGAAAGCACCTTTGTGAAGTCCTTTAGTTCAAAAACTTCATGAGGAAGAGTCAAAACATCTGCCAAGACACTGTTGTAATGATCTGTCGAATCTGTAAATGGCCGCCTTAAATCGAATGCCTTCGATTTAAGCCGATTTGTTCCCTTTTGGAAACAACTTCTTTTTTCCTCCCATCCCACTCAAGGGAAATACAACATTTTGTGTTCAAATCATTTCTCGGAGGCTCTAGCCTTTTCTTTTTGGTTTTGTATTGGTCCAAAGAATTACAGCCAGCAATGCTAGCACCGTGCAGCCTCTTTCTCCGTTGATCAGCAGCCATTGCTATCAGATGTCAAAAGAACCGGCAGCCAACATTTTCCTGCATATGCAAGCAGAAAGTCGGTACAAAATCGTATGGCACCAAGAAAAAAAATTGAACCATTAAAAATAAAAGCAGAAACCTTTGAATCAGAACAAATCATAAGACAGTTTAATCAGGCAAAGCAAAACACATGCACCGCATTTAAATGCATATACACACATAAAATTTTACCAGAAAACAAATCTTAAGCATGTTACAAAACTAAATTTTAAAGTGATATTGTAAACACAATTCCAAAATTCTAATTCGGTTTCTGCTTTGTGAAATGAGGGACCCCGGCTGCTTTGAACCAATATGTATCATGCCAGAAACGGAGCTTTACAACCAGAGCAGCAGTCACATCAAATCAAATAATCTGAAGAAATAACCTGTTTCCAGCAAATTAACTAAAACAGGCAAACTGATAACTGATTCTATCGTTTTTCTTTTAGTCATGCTAGTCGAAACATAAGCTGAAGTAAAAACGGCAACAAAGCTAATAAAGTTGAAAATTTTCCATTTACACCAAGTGCATTTACTCAACTCAATATTTGCATCTGGATTTAACACATCATTAAGTATGCAGCACATAGAAACTCTATCCACAATAAAAAAACTAACAACTGCAATAATCCAACACAGGCAAAAAAATACACACCTTTTTTATAGAAGAAACAAACACACTTCAAAATTAAAATAAGATAAAGTAGCAATCATCCAACAAAAATCGGCCTCTAATCAGAAAGAACAAGAAAAACAAACAAACAACAGAGAAGCATTGAAAATCAAAAAACTAAACAAGCAAACAAAAACCGCAGACTTTTTAAATATATATCGTAACAAAGGAGACCCATTTGATATATAAAAGAACAAACCCTAAAAACCCCCCAGAAAATATTTCCTTTCGAAGAAACAAACAGAAAGGTACCCTGAAAAAAGAATGAGCGGTGGATTGAGAAACAGGCAAACATGGGGGGAGGGGGGCAAAGGGAGCAGATAAACGGTCGTAAGCAATTGGCACGGAAGGGACGGCGATAAAGAAATAAAAAAAAAGGGTTTGTGTTAACTTATCCAATAAAACGGAGAGAACAGACACACACACACACACAGAAGTAAAGAGAGAAAGAGAAGAGTGTAAGGGAGAGATAAAGACTGGGATTCTCGGAACCGTTATGTCAAGGCATCGAATCGCTCGTTCGCGCTTAAGAGGCTCGGCTCGGCTCTTACCCTCTCTCCATAGTCCAGCCGCTCCCCACTCCTCGCCTTGCTTTTAAATTTTTAAATTTTTTATTCAACATTTTTCTTAGTCTAGAATTATAATTTTATTTGTATTTTTAATTTATTTTTAAATATTTTAAAGTAATTATAAGGTAATGTTTATATAAAAAAAATTTAGTTGCATGAATTAAGTAGTCTCAATGGTAAATGACTTGTTATTCCTTGAGGACCCGAATGTGAGCGTTCGATGTCAAAAGATTTGAGATTTATCGTTGAACATATATTATCTTGTACTTATCTCATATTAATAAAAAAATCATTTTATTATATGATAATAGATATATTTTGAAGACATAACTACTTGAATCTAAAATTTTTCGAAAGAACAACATTTTTTTAATCATTGAAATCATGTGTTAAAACCATGTTTTAATTTATAATATTATATTGGTTATATTTTCTGCATAAAAAATATTTATAACCTTTTTCACATATTTAAATTAAAAAGATTATTATATAATTAAATATTTATAAAATCACAAATTTTAACATGTTATAATAAAATTGATATCATCTAAATCAAAATTTAAGAGACTAACATCTTAAAAAATAAAAAAAATAAAAATGTTAAAAATATTATAATTAAAAATATTAATTAAATTAAAATTAAATCAATTTTATTTATGAAAAAAAATGTAGATTTATATATGTGGTGATTTATCAACAATAATCGGCTCGGCTAATCAACCTACTAAGAGGGGCAGGGGGTTGACGGTAAATAGCAAACAAATCATTGGATCCCGTGGACTTCCGCTTCTAAAAGTAAACGTTTATTAATATATTATTATGCTCTCCCATTCTATTTCACATTATCATATGACTTAACCTCCACCTTTTCTTTTTTTTCAATTTCATCCCTAAATTATTTTTTCTTTCAATTTTGTCCTCCGTTGTATGCTGAAAGAGTCGGAGTCTTAAAAATGCTACAATATTCGATTGTAGACTGAATAGCGTTCAAGTCCAAAGAGCATCAACAAACGATTCACCGGAAAATCTGGGAAAATTATTCAGAATTCAGAGAAATATCAACTGGCAGCGGTAGCAATTATCCCGGTACAAAAAAACGGCACTAATGATGCCCCGAAAGTCCGGGGCAGCAGAAGTAAAAGTCTGCTACAAACGTTCGGCATTATCGAATAAAATTAAAGAGCTTATTTTGCAATTATCCAACAATACGAGGGGGAAAAAGAACAAAACTTGAGCCTCCTCAGTGTAGCATTTTTATGCAATATCAGAAAAGAACACAGAAGCGTCCATAGTTCGCTCCTTTCACTCTTAAAAGTTTTCAAATTTATCATACATGTCAAATTTTTTGCCTACTAGGCAAGAGACTTGTACACAAATAGAAATTACGCAAATCAAGCAATTTATAGGGAAGTCGGAAAGAAATGAGTGAACTTTTAGGTCCAAAAGTTTACCTACGCCTGTTGGCTTTTAGAGCTTGGAATGAGCCGGGACATAGTTCTTCCTTCACACGACATGGAAGGGTAAGAGGGGTCGGAGTCACCGGGTTGAAACTTGTGGATGGTGGTATCAAAGAGCCAGATGAACAGATTCAAGGTCAGCATGAAGATCATTAATCTTTTGCAGAAGCTCCTTCAAATAACCAATGGCATCTCCAAGTATTGAAGCCCTATCCATCTGCGACAGAATAAGCACAATGCGCAGCAGCCGTGGATATAAGTTTCAATTAAAGGGTGCATGCTCTCAAACTATCGATATAAATTATGTGAGACCAAATGCCAAGCATCAGGATTCTAACTTTGTATCACAAAAGAATATCCCAGTCCACAATCATCAATTCCTTGAGAACTTCAAAAGATAATATACCTTGCTATTATTAGGCACCAACAGACCTAAGCATGTAAAGCCTATCATTGAGCTTCTTCCTCCTCCGTCTCTCTGCCATCAGATTTTTTGCCGGCATCCCTTTCTTCTTCCCCTTTTGATCTCCACAACCAGTGGGCAGCTAGAAAATAGTTGGGCTGAAAAAAAAATGCAACAATTAAGCCATGAAGCAAATATGCAAAGAAGGAAGTCTAAAGTTGATTTAATCACTTGGACATCAGGAGGGATTCATGAAAACTCTAAGAAAACTTTAATGAAACTTCTTCACCGAAGACTCGGTATCCAATCCATGCAATCATCAGAAGTTGATGATCAATATCTTACTTCATCTTCCGGAGGGAGGGAAACCTCCTGTTCCTGAGCCACAAACTTCGCATTTACCTTTCGATCATTTCACAGATCAGGAAGTTCACGTAAACGGCTCATTTTCAGAAGGCCCTCAAAATTCTGGCTCATTTGCAGAACAGTCATTCATGTTGGGCACTGGGGATCCTTTTTCTAGTAGCTATTCAGGTGCTAGGTTAACAGAAAAATCTGCTGTGGATAAAGAATTACTGGAGGGTAAGGGACAAGAGAAACGGATTGAAAGGCATGATTTCTCGGAGTGGTTCTGTGTCAGGGTCTGAGAACAATGTTTTAGAGCCAGTAGAGACAACTTTGGACTGTGGTGAGTTACAAAGTAGAACCCATAGTATGGCTCTCTTAGTTTTGGTAATCTGTCAAAAAGATTTTTTCACTAAATGCCATTTTTTTGTATTAATTGAATCTTGAAATTGAAATGGTGCAGGTGGCAATGGCATGTTGTGCAGTAATGAAATTGGATTAGATAAACCAGTTGGAGAAGACCCCTTTAATGATAGGTGACTTCCGTTTAGTTGTACTGTTGGAGCTTTAGTGTGTTTTTTTTTTTTTGGCACAGCTACATAATGCTGATCCCCCCCCCAACACCAAATTTGGCATTTGATAATCGACATGAGCGCACATCTATGCACACACAGCAGTCTCATTTTGGTTGTTAACAATGTTTTAACCTTTAAACTTTATTTGTAAAAAGCGTTCTAACTGTGCTTTTGTGTTATTTTTTATAGGTTATAGTCAATGATGCCGAAACGGCATGATAAAGTTTCACAGGTTTCGTCATCCCAGACTATCAATTCTGATAAAAAAAAACAGTATTATTTGTGAAGCAGAAAAATTCTACAACCCTTTCAACTCAGGCAAAGAGGAGCATAGAAACCGAGGCAGCAGACAAGAAAGATGCAGTTATGAGAAGTACCTCATCTTTCAATGACTCTGAAGTGTCCGAGGCATCATCATTCATCGAGATTCTTAAGAAGCCGGCTCATCTTCAGGGAACCGACGCAGCAGCTTTTGAGCCAACATCTGATGCTGCATCACAATCTCCACGGAGTGGTAAGAAAAAGGGGAAGAAGGGGAGACAGATCGATCCCGTCCTGCTCGGTTTCAAGTTTACGAGCAACCAAATTTTGATGGGTGAGATCCAACGTCTCGACGACTAATTTTTCTCGTCTACTTGTACTGTGTCGTGTCGTACATTCCCTGTAATTTTTTCTTGGAAGTTTTGTTAGGCTTATTTAACGCACATTTTGGGGTTAAATCTTCGCAGTGAGTTAATCAGAGTTAAATATATGAAATTGATCTACTGAGCATTATCAAATAAGTACAGTTTGGGTCATGAAATTGATCGTATAATACTTGAAATGTAGCATTAAAATTGAAAATAGAATTTATTGTTACGAATAAAATCGATTAGTTTAGGTAGTTGAATCAGATTTTAAATTTACATTTAATTATATTTAAACCAATGGTCAGATCGTTTATCAAATCTAACTACTGCTCAACGATAAACTTCAAATGACGTGTCACATCTTCCCTCATAATCAATTTAGTTCATCTATTATTAAATGTATCAGATTAGTCCTTTATTTATAGATTGGTTCATATTCGTCCCTTATTGAATGAATTATTTAATCCATATAATAGTAAATGGAATCAAATAAGAGCATTTGTTTTTACAGATTTAACATTTGTTATAAATAAGGGTTCAAGTCTCGTATAAAAATAAATATCCAAAAGAAATCTAAAAAATAAATGAATTAAGAATTAATTTTCCAGATCTCATATTAAAATTCTATAAATAATGGTTCGAGTCTAGTAGATAATATATATTTTCAAAAATTAAAAAGATGTTGCAAATGAGATTTTTTTTAATTAATCACTAGTATCCGATCTATTGACCGACTAATCTAATTCAGGTACTGCAGAGGTAAAGTCGACCCTCCCAACCCAATTTGCTCCATTCGTAAACACCATGATTTGAACCCCTAACCTTGTTTAAGGGACCTAATACCTCATCTCACTAGACCAATTGATTGTTGATACAAACGAGAGTTTTAATTGATGTAAAAATATTATTCTCATAGATAATAAAAAATAAATTTTATTTTATTTAACCTTAAAAATATATTAAGAAAAAAATAGCCTTTAGTGGACTCCAAATAAATAAAACAAATATTATGTTTCTAACTACATCCAATCTAATATAATCAATTAATTGTAAATGATTATCTCATTTTATGTTCCCAAAATGCCCTTAATTTCAAGTGAAATGTCAATGAGATTCAAGTGAAATACTTATATTTAGTCATGTTCTGTCGTTTAAGCCTTATGGTCTCTCCCTTCAAAGTAAAACAAAATCGAGAAATTGTTCGTTATCAAGATCAGACCCAATCCTTCATTTATAGAAACCCTAGCCATCCCTCTCTCTTGCTCTCTGCAATTGCATAATCATTATCTTTTCGAAGCCTATATATTTCTCTCCCTGTCGAGCCATCTGATCCCTCTCTTTCTGCCTCTTCGTCGCCGTTTCTCGCGACCTTAGGCCGTTTCGCCCGCTCCGATCTCCGTCTTCCGGATTCTATCAGCTTTCGTTTTCCCCGATGGATGAGGGAAAATTCGATCTGCCGGATGATCTCCTATCTTCCAAAATCGACTCTGACCACTCCCCCAAAGGTATTATTATTACGTTTACTTTAAAAATTTTCTGGTTCTCTCATTTTTAATACTCTTTGGATTTCGATCGTATTTGGTTTCCGGTTTCAATTTAATATGCTGGTTTGTCTGAGGTTCTATTGTATTTTTTGTGCGACCAATAGATCAACCAACTTCGGAGAGCGGCATACCTTTGTCCCCTCAATGGCTTTACTCTAAAGTGGTTGATCCTAAGATGTTACCTGCTGGAGTGTCTGCGGTATGGAGCTTTTATTTCCCTTTATCAAATTCTTTTTAGGGCACTGATTGGAAATTGGAATATGACTGTTTGATTTGCTAGTTTTATTTTCTATCATATAGTGGAATTGTATTTTTCATTGTTTAATGCTCTGATCAGAAATATATATTTGATTTGTATCTTGTGACTATTTTTTCATCTTGATTTTGTCTTGTTTCTGTGGTATAATTTGTTTACTCTGAACAGGATATAAAATCACCGAATTTGTTGCCCCATGGAGCCTCTGGTGATCCCAATCTGAAAGATAGTTGGCGTTTAGATGGTTCTCAGGACAAGAAAGAATGGAGGAGGGCTGCACCTGAACTTGAAAACAGTCGCCACTGGCGTGAAGAGGAGAGAGAAACTAGCTTACTTGGCCGAAGGGATAGCAGAAAAGAAGACTGGCGCCCTGATATCTCTTCAAGTATGGATGCTTCTGAAAATAGGAATGTTTCTTCTGAGCGATGGCAAGATGTTAGTAGTCGTGGTTCAGGGCTTGAATCTCGAAGAGAGAACAAGTGGTCTTCAAGATGGGGTCTTGAAGACAAAGAAAAGGATTCTCGAAACGAAAAGAGGACAGATGCGAAGAAGGAAGATGCCCCTTCCGAGAAACTATCTTTTGCTAGTGGGGGGCGCCTAGCTTCTGAGCGTGAGAATGATTCTCGTGATAAATGGAGGCCACGTCATCGTTTGGAAGGTCATGCTGGTAGGTCTGCTTCTTACCGCAGTGCTCCAGGATTCGGTTTGGAGAGGGGACGAGTGGAGAGATCACATGTGGGTTTTACAGCAGGACGAGGGAAGCCGCAACCTGTTTCTGTTACTGGAGCTCTTCCAGGGGATAAAAACAAGACTTTTAATGCATATTGCTACCCAAGAGGAAAACTCCTTGACATTTACCGCAAGCAAAAGACTGCTCCAAATTTTGACACCCTGCCCGATGAGATGGATCATTCATCAACGATAACCCAAAATCATATTGTTGAGCCTCTGGCTTTTGTTACTCCTGTCGCAGAGGAAGAGGTATGATCTTATAATTTGATTTATAGAAGAAAATTCTACCCATTTTTATCCTTATATATTGTTGCCTGATTCTTACAGGCTGCCATTGGAGATATATGGAAAGGAAACACCACAAGCAGTGATGTGATTTGCGATTCATTTAGGGACACAAGTAGGGATCAAATGAAAGCATTGCTGCTAGTGTTGCATTTTTGTTCCAAACTTACCTAGTAAATGATTAGATACCTTGGAGAAGCTAATTATGTTCCCATCCTAATCCAGGTCTTATTGATGTGATTTCAGGTGAAGAAAAACAATGTTTCTTGGTTAACAGGGAGGACAGTGTTGAATCTGGTGAGAAGGCTTCCGTAAACAATAATTATCAAGGGAATCATGCTGAGACATTTAATTTGTCAGATTCACAGATGACTATGAAGAAAGGTAGGAAACTTTCAGTTTTAGTTGTTTGCTATCAGCAATCCAGTAAGGATGGCACTTATGTTTTGTTTTGCTTGTCATTACAGAAATAAATAGTTCAAAGGAAGGTGGACAAAAATATATGACACCATCTGGTATTGATGTAACCAATGCTTTCGGGTCAAATGAGGATATCGATGGTTCTGCAAGATACATGGATGGATTGAAATCTTTTGATAATCGACCTGTAGCTGATATGAAAATAGAAAAGGACTATAGTGTGGAGGAAAATGTATCATCTATGCAATTTGGAGTGGGAAGCGAGGTTTCTGAAGGCTCAAGCTCTCTATTTGGTTTTCAGTCACTGCAGCCTACTCTCGATTGTGACCAGATAAATTTTGAGGGCAATAAGGAAGCACATTCACTTGAAAGTACTGGCCCTCCCGAAGAATTGAGTTTATTCTATCTTGATCCTCAAGGGGTAATTCAGGGACCATATATGGGGATTGACATAATTTCATGGTTTGAGCAAGGCTATTTTGGTACAGACTTACCTATTCGATTGGAAAATGCTCCTGATGAATTGCCTTTCCAAGAACTTGGTGAAGTGATGCCTCACCTAAGGATGAATTCTGGTTCAGCCTCCAGTGGCAGTGCAGTTGCAAGATTGCAGATACCTGATTGTTTTGAAGGGATCTCGGAAGAGACCATATTTTCTGCTTCTAATCCTGCTACAGAACTGAAGGGATCTGCCATTGGACATAAGCAGCAGCAGTTTTTGTCTGCTTTTGAGACTCCTGATGCTAATTTTCAGTCAAAAGGGCTTTCTCAAAATTATCATTCTGAGCACCAGTATTATGAAGATGAAAAGCTCCATAAATTTGCTGCTGCTCATGCAGATGGTAAGTTTAACGGGTTGGACCTACTGTTGATTTTATTAGTCATTGTGTTTGACTATAATGCCTGTTTTCTTGTGTAATGCAGAAATTATCTTGAGAGAAGGCCTGGAAATGCTGGGGCTGAGCCTTTGAAAGTTTCTGTTGAAATTCAAGATCCTTTTGGCAATCCTTCAAGCCATCTGCCCATTGCAAATGAATTTTCAAAAACCAATTTACCTTCTCATCGTGGTGATGCGTTACTTCCTGATGCTTGGCCTGATGCTTATAGAAGAAATGCTGTGTATAATCCTAACATCCGTGTAGGCAGTCCCTTATCTCGCAGGGAACAAGAATGCAATGGTTTAGACTTACAGCACCTAATGTCACAAAAGTTGCCCAGTGAATCACATCATGAGGAAAATCATTTGTTTCATTCCTTTTCACATTCAGCTGGATTTGGTGCTGAGCAAGTTCATAGTTTTGATCTGACGCAAAGCAAGAATCTCGATCACCAGCAATCAATACATCTTTCAGCTCCACATATGGAACATCTTTTGGAACTTCAATTTGAACAGCAGCGGCAGTTGGAACATCAGCGGCAGCAGCAGTTGGAACATCAGCGGCAGCAGCAGTTGGAACATCAGCGGCAGCAGCAGCAGTTGGAACTTCAACGACAGCAGCAGCTTGAACTTCAGCGACAGCGGCAGCAGCAGCTTGAACTTCAGCGACAGCGGCAGCAGCAGCTTGAACTTCAGCGACAGCAGCAGCAGCAGCTTGAACTTCAGCGACAGCAGCAGCAGCAGCTTGAACTTCAGCGACGGCAGCATCAGCTTGAACTTCAGCGGCGGCAGCAGCAGCTTCGTAACCATCAAATTAAGTTGTTGCAGCAACTGCAACAACAACATCTACAACAGCAGCCTTCTCAAGCTCAGGAGTTGCTACTCAATCAATTGCTGCAACATCAGGTTTCTGATCCTGGTTATGGCCAGCACATATTTGATGCTGCTAGGGACAACCTGCTTGATCAGGTTCAGTTAAAAAGGAATCTTCTGAGTGAGTTGCAGCAAAATTCTCATGCTTCGAGGCAATTGGATTCATCACTGGAGCAGATTATCCAAGCCAATATTAACCAGAGAGCAGTCCAAGAGCATCAGCTTCATCTTCAACGTGAGCAGTTTCAAGTAGAGCAATTATCTAGGGCTCTGAACCAACAATTAGGTATGGAGGGGGTAGACAACATGCTGGTTCTTGGTCTGTTGATGAAGTCGGTCAGGTTGTCAGGAATCCTAGCATTCATGCCCAGGCTCAACCGGTGGGATTGAATGGTTCAGATATTCACCAGAAGAGGTTTTACTCTTCAGAAGAGCAGTTTAACAATCTTAAAAGGAATCATGCTTTGCTTGAGCAACAGCAGCAAGGGGCTATTGACAATTTAAATTCTCCAGATCTATCTGACCATCTCTATATGCACTCTAACGACCGACTGGGATCATTTTCTTCTGGTATCCATTCTCTTGGCCGACAATTTTCGGGTGATGTGTATACTTCTCATCCAGATTTAACAGATAGCTACCAATCTAGGCAAAATGAGGAACTAGAAAATAGTTGGGTGGAAAAACAAATGCAACAATTAAGTCTTGAAGCAGATCTGCAAAGAAGGGGGTCTGAAGTTGATTCAAGGACTTGGACATCAGCTGGAGGGATTCATGAAAAATCTAAGAAAGCTTTAATGGACCTTCACCAAAAATTTGGTGTCCATTCCACACAGTCATCGGAACTAGATTATCAATATTCTACCTCATCTTCGAATTTACCTTTTGATCATTTCACTGATCAGGAAGTTCATGTGAACAGCTCATTTTCAGAAGGCCCTCAAAATTCCGTCTCATTTGCAGAACAGTCATTCAAATCGGTCTCTGGAGATATGTTTTCTAGTAGTTATCCAGGTGCAGGGTTGATGGAAAAATCTGCCATGGACAAAGAATTAATTGAATTGAAGGGTAAGGAGAAGAGAAGTGGATTGAAAGGAAAGATTTCTAGGAGTGGTTCTGTGTCAGGGTCAGAGGACTGGGAGCAAGCAGAGGCATCTTTGATCTGTGGTGATCTACAAGGTAGAACCCATATCCAGCATGGTTCTTTTAGTGATAAAGCTTCTCAGGTTCCATCATCCCAAAATGTTTACTCGGAACAAAATGCAGTGCTTATGAAGCAGAAAAGCCTTGCAGCATCTGGTACGATGTCTTATTTTTTATTATATATAGAAAAGAACTGCAAAGTAAATACATGTCTATACTTGTATTGATTACAGAATCATTTGTTTCGTTTAATGTTGTGCAGAAGGGAGACAGGAAGGCATGGCAATGAATGCAGGCGCAGGTGCGAAGAGGAGCACAGAAACTCAGGCATCGGGCAAGAACAATGCAGGTATGAGAAGGACCTCATCTTATAACGATGCGGCAGCGTCCGAGGCGTCATCATTCATAGATATTCTTAAGAAGCCGGTTCATCTTCAAGGAACCGAGGCAGCACCGTACGGCTCTGCTTTTGAGCCGTCATCTGATTCCGCTTCACAAGCTCCTCGAGCTGGCAAGAAAAAGGGGAAGAGGGGAAAACAGATTGATCCTGCCTTGCTGGGTTTCAAGGTTTCAAGCAACCGCATTTTGATGGGTGAGATCCAACGCCCTGATGATTAATTGTTCTCATCTGCGCGTACCGTATCGTGTTGTACATTTCCCGTAAAAAAAATTTCGTTTTGCTGTCTTTAGATAATTTTCATTTCTGTACAGACTCATAGTTGATTGATTGATTTTTCGGTCTGATCAATTTTGGTATAGTTTTATAATCAAGTGTGGTTGGTACTTTATATTATTAATCTATTTTATTTTAATCTCTCTATCGTTACTTTCATTAATATTTTAATGAAACTGTTATTTGACAATTAAAAAAAGGGTAAAATATAGTAATGGTCATTGAATTTTTCTAAAATTTTCACTTAGGTGCCCTAACTTTTAAAACTTGCAATATCTCTCAATATTTAGTCCGTTTACAATATGGTATTTCAACAGTTATGTTGGAGATCATATTACAAATGGATTAAATATTGAGGGATTGTATTATAAGTTTTAAAAGTTAGGGGATCTAAATGAAAGTTTTAAAAAAGTTTAGTGGTCATTACTATACTTTACCCTTAGGATAAATATGATGAAAATGTCATAAAAAATGGTTTATTACCCTCTTCGTCCAGTTTTTTCACGTTCTTCTTTTTCTTGGTTTTTTGTTCATATCGTTTTATTTTATACCAATGACAGTTCTTTGGCCGTCTTTTTTCTCTCAGCTTTTTACCTTATTAATATACCAATTATTAGTTGATCTGTCTATACCAAGTGTTAAATCTTTTAAATAGTCAAAGGTTTGATTAAATTGAATTAGAAAATTAATTAATAAAATAAATTTAATATACATAGTTATACAAAAGTTGCATATATTTTATTCAATATATATTTAATATTTTTTTTTAAATTTAAACAATTAAGAATTAATTAAGATAACATGATTCAGTCTCATGGATATTGACCATCAATGTTGTCTCACTTCAACACGATTATCTATTGATCAGGGAGCAGTCGTCGGAGAGAGCGAGGACTTTGATATCTTCTCTAGGAGTAGTTTCGTGTATTGATCCTATGAAGTAGTAACTTCCCATCCAGGTTATGTGAAGATTAATCTTGATAGTGCTTTTGAGCCTATTGGACGTATAACGGCTGTGAGGATTATCGCCTAAAGTTCTGTTGACCAGGTATTTAGCGGCATGGCTGCATCATCACCGGGATGTGTTGAAGCTGAGCTTTTGGAGATTTATGCTTTGTATGCATCACTTCTTTAGGCAAGTGAGTATAAGTGAATACATGTAATTTTTAAATCGGACTCAACGCTTGTAGTCAACAAGATGTCTCGACCGGATGAGGACTTGTCCACTTTAGGTTATCATCCTTAGAAAACTCGTAGGATTTTGGATGCTAATTTACATTATAAAGTATGTTTTGTTCTTAGAGTTTGTAATATGTGGCACATACTTTGGTTATCTTGTATTTTGGGCTCTTCGTTTTGGAAATATCTTGTATTTTGACTCGGTTTGTCTGAGAATATTACATCTGTTGTATCAATGATTCTTCTTCTGGTAATACAATGTCTTAGGACACTATTTTTCCATATAAGTCTTAGAAGGGATTTTTGGTGAGACCTATTTTCTATATAAAAAAATTAATTAAGAGTTGTTTAAACATATAAATAATATTTTCAACACACGCACAAAAAATTCTACACTTGTTTTTACCTTAAGAAAAAGTTTATATTTTTAGTTAAAATATATAAATTGATTATTAAATTATATTTAATTGATTTTTTGTTATTAAAATTTTAAAAATTATAAAATAATCATTAAATTTTAAGAAATTATAAAGTAATTATTAAATTTATTGAACTATTATAAAATAATATTTAAATTTTTCAAAATTATTTTATTTATAATATATATAGACTATTTTATAACAGCATCAATAAAATTTAATAATTATTTTATAACTGCGCCTCCAAACAAACAACTGCAAATCGCAAATTGCTCGTAAGTAAAATCTGGTTCACATTCTCCGTCAGGTAAAGTTTGTTGGTGTTACGTTTTATCAACAACAACAAGATTGGCGACCAGCATTGAATCCGTTTGTAGATTCGAGAATCGTTTGGACTTGGATTAGATCGGATCGTATCAGATCTTGTGTTCATAGACTTGACCCTCCGCTTCATTTCTCTTTATCTACGCAGATGCTGGTGTATGTTTTTTTTTTCCTTTCATTTCTTCCTTTTCGTATGACTTGAACGAATGTTGCTGCATTTTTTGTCAGTAGTAACTGTAGCTCTGCTGAAGTTCTTGACTGGCTGTTGATTTCTTCTTCAGCTTTTCTTGAGGGGGATTCAAGTTTCTAAACCATGGGAGATTGGGTCATTGGAGCATTCATCAACCTCTTTGGAAGTATTGCCAAAAACTTTGGGACTAACCTTCTTAAATTAGGTCATAATGAGGTATGGAATTTGCTAGATTTTTGTTTCTTTTCAGTTTCCCAGACTCATGTTGATCAATTACTTTTTAGATAATATTTAGCGTTCTTGCCAAGTCATAAAATCATCCATGTACTTCTAGGCATGATTATGTTGCTGCATTAGCGTTCAACAACGCTAGAAAACATACATGAAAACACGTTTACTCAGACTTTTGGTGTTACTGATAGTTCCGTCGGAACATTGTCAAAACTCTTGCTTTCATTTTTTAGATCATATCTGAATCCAGTTGATATGGTGGATTAGTCGGTCTTAAATCCAAAGTGAATATGTTTCTGCCCGTTTTTCCAGGCAAATGGTGAAACATCATCAAATTTGGGAATAAATGTCCTTTCGTTTCCATACCTCATTATTTAGTAATTTGTCCATTCCTATTATAGTGTTACGGCTTTGATTTTCAATTTTAATGCTATTTTTCTTGTCTAATTGGGTCTACTTCAATTCACAGAGAGAAAGATATTCCACAATAATTGGGTGTTTATTTATTCTATATGTGGAGTGAACTAATGTTAAATGTAATTCTTTATTTGCAGGTATTCTAATTTTCATTCTTGGAAATTGTCTAAACTTCATTTCCTTTGGTTATGCCGCTCAGGTTAGTATTCCAAGCCTTCTGATCATAATAGGCTCCATTTAGACAAAATTACATATTAATTTTCTTCCATAAGGAAGCTCTAAGGTTAAGAAGCTAAGTTAAATTCTTTGCCTTAAATGTTGTGGGCTTGATACAAAGTTTTATCCTTAGCCATTTGTTATTGGTAAGTAGCTTTAGAAAGTTGGACGATCATTATTTTTTTACTTATTATTTTTTTTTGATAGGAATTGCACGCCTCGTTAAAAACCTCCTTCATGATTAAAGGAGCTTATAGAGAAGCTCCTTAATCAGCAGATGGAGGAAAAGAGTGCCTTAAGATTTTATTAACCATAGAAAGAACACGATACAACCAGGGAGCCACCCCCAATATGAACAAAACACCAAAAACAGCCACCAACAATCCTACCAGAACCAGCCTAATCTAACAAAGCAACAACAACAGCCTAAAAAAGACTGGCCAAACAAAAAACCTAAATGAGGCCCGATAGACACTCAATCAAACAAAACAACCAGAAAAAAGCCAAGGGTGACAGCTGACTAAAACCATAAAAGCCAACTTCTAACTCAAAGGCCACGGAGCTTTCACATGATAAGAAAACAAAAAAAACACGCATATAGCCGCCTTTCCACCACATCACCACGTCTTGTTGGTTAAAGACCATCCGAACTTCCAGCTCCAGACAAAAAGCATGGCGTAGATCACCTGAACCTTCTACTCCTTCCCCCGCCATCGTCTTCCGACAATAGATACACTACTGCGCCATTAGACTCACAACCCAAATCTTTCCCAAAAGGCAAGGAATTGAACGTATCCTTCTGTTGAGACTGCCCCAATGCTGGAAAATCAGATTCATAAGAGAATCTGCCATCAAAAACAGACACCTCTTCCTCCCAATGCACCTTACTCTGATGGCTCTTGCTTCGGGAACCCCTATACTTTCTTTTAGGAGCTGTAAAATTCCCTTGAAAAAATTGTTTAGATCTAAATTTGTTGCCAGAACCCACCTTAGGTCTCATGTACTGCCTTGCGATACCCTTTGGATTTACGAAAGCGTAGTTGTAAGAACAACCCTCGTGAATCCCTTCCTCCACCTCCCTTATCTCAACCCGACCATCCAACATGGGGAAATCATTAAAATAATCCTTTGAGCCTACAAAAGCACATGCAGACTCACTGTTTTTCCTAAAGGCAACTTCATTATCCCTCTCCACGTGAACCAACAGATCCACTTTATCCTTTAGGCTCACATCTTCCAATTCCTTTGACTCTAAGAGACCATCCTGTATGGGAGAATTAATTAAAAAATCCTTACTCTTCACAAAACCACGTGCAGGCAAACAAGTGTCCTTAAAGACATCCACTGCTTCTCTCTCCGCAGCACCAACAATGTCTTGTGTTCCCCCACTCCCTCCATTTGGGAAAGAACCATCCTCTGACCCCCAACGTCGCTCCTCGGACCCATCATCAAAGCCTCTCCTATGTTCCTGTCCTCCACACCCTCACCCGACAGGATGCTGCCTCTAGCACTAGTCCCCAAACAGCAGAAAATTTTTTCTTCATTCTCAGAACACCTCACGGCCGACTGCACCTCCGAAGAGTGAATGGAACTTCCAGCTTCTTTAAAACCCTCTTCCAGTTTTCAAGAAACTTAACTGGAAAGGCACCAACGAGCTCCCTCACCTTGGATAACGGGGATACGACTGCCTCTTCAAAAGAAGACGACTCTACCCACTTAATAAAAATTCTGCAGCATCCTAACAAGCTGTCTTTGAGAGTTGAGAATTTACTGTCGTCAACAGAACCAACAATGGGAGCCACCATGTGACTAACATCCTTCCTTACATTGTTTCCCTCGACTGAATAAGGACCAGAGAACTTCTTCCTCCAGAAAACATCACGAGGAAGATATCTCGCCATGAATACTCTAATTTTGTTGCCTTGAATCCAAGATCTATCAACACAGTTGATAGCCTTCCTCGCGTCCTTCAGTCTGGTGAAACGAACAAAATCAAACCTACTTCCTCCCTTGCTTCTTTTATTGGGGATGAAAGAATCCACCACCTCGCCATATTTATCGAAAAATAACCAAAGACCTTTGTAATGAAAACTCTCTGGAATGTTGA